GAGAGTAGACACCCTTGTCTTGTTCCTTTTCTCAGATGGATGGCTGTCAGTTTTTCACCATTAAGTTTGACGTTGGCTGTGGGTTTGTCATATATGGCCTTTATTACGTTGAGGTACTCTGTTCCTATGCCAATTTTATTGGGAGTTTTTATCACAAATGGATGTTGGATCTTGTCAAATGCTTTCTCTGCATCTATTGAGATGGTGATGTGGTTTTTATTCACCATTTTGATAATGTGGTATGTCACTTTGGTTTGCAGATGTTGAACCATTCCTGTGTCCCTGGTATAAATCCCACTTGGTCATGGTGTATGATCCTTTTAATGTATTGCTGTACTCTATTTGTCAGTATTTTCCTGAGGATTTTTGCATCTATGTTCATTAGCAATATTGGCCTGTAATTCTCCCTCTTCATTTGTCCTTGTCTGGTTTTGGTGTCAGGGTGATGTAGGCATCACAGAATGAGTTAGGAAACGTTCCACCTACTTCAATTTTTCAGAATATTAGAAGGAAAGGTATTAACTCTTCTTTGAATGTTGGTAGAATTCTCCAGAAAAGCCATCTGGGCCTGGACTTTCGTTTTTTGGGAAGTTTTTGATTGCTGTTTCTATCTCTTTATTTTGGTCTGTGAAGATTCTCTATTTCTTCTTGGTTCAGTTTTGGGAGGTTTATGAGTCTAAGAATTCATCCATTTCTTCTGGGTTATCAAATTTGTGGGCATATAGTTTTTCATAGTATTCTCTTATAATGCCTTGTATTTCTGTGGTATCTGTTGTAATTTCTCCTCTTGCATTTTTAATTTTATTTATTTGTGCCTTCTCTCTTCTTTTGTTGGTGGATCTGGCTAAGGTTTGTCAATTTTACCTTCTCAAAGAACCAGGTCTTAGTTTCATTGATCCTTTGTATTGCTTTTTTAGTCTCTATTTCATTTAATTCTGCTCTAATTTTTATTATTTTCCTCCTTCTGCTGACTTTGGGCTTTGTTTGTTTTTTCTTTTTCTAGTTCTGCTAGGTGTAGTTAAAGATTGTTTATTTTACATTTTTCTTCTTTGTTGAAGTAGGACTGTATTGCTATAAATTTACCTCTTAGCACTGGTTTTGCTGCATCCCATAAGAGTTGGTACATTGTTTTCATTTTCATTCATCTCCAGGTATTTTTTTTCTTGTTCTTTTTTTCTATTTTATTTTTTATTGAGGTTATGATAGCTTACAACTTGTGAAATTTCAGCTGTACATTATTATTTGTCAGTCATATTAGAGGTGCACCACTTCAACCTTTGTGCCCACCCCGCACTCCCCGTTTCCTCTGGTAACCCCTAATCCTGTTCTCCTTGTCCACATGTTTAACTTCCACATATGAGTGGAGTCATACAGAGATTGTCTTTCTCTATCTGGCTTACTTCACTTAACATAATACCCTCAAGGTCATCCATGTTGTTGTGAATGGGACAATTTTATCCTTTTTTATGGCTGAGTAGTATTCCATTGTATATATAGCATATCTTCTTTATCCAATCATCAGTCGATGGGCACTTAGGTTGCTTCCATGTTCCAGGTATTTTTTTATTTCTCCTTTGATTTCTTCATTGATCCAGTGGTTGTTCAGTAGCATCCTGTTTAATCTCCACATATTTGTGCTTTGTGCCTTTCCCAGCTTTTTTCTTGTAGTTGATTTCTAGTTTCATAGCATTGTGATCAGAAAAGATGTGTGATATTTCAATCTTCTTAAATTCATTGGGGCTTGCCTTGTTTCCCAACATATGGTCTATCTTTGAGAATGTTCCATGTGCACTTGAGAAAAATGTGTATTCTGCTGTTTTGGGATGGAGTGTTCTATATATATCTAATAAGTCCATCTGGTATAGTGATTCATTTAAGGCCACTGTTTCCTTGTTGACTTTCTATCTGGATGATTTATCCATTGATGAAAATGGGGTGTTGAGGTCCTCTACTATTATTGCATTGCTATCAGTTTCTCCCTTTAGGTCTATTAGTAGTTGATTTATATACTTTGGTGCTCCTGTGTTAGGTGCATATATATTCATAAGTGTTATTTCCTATGGAGGAATGTCTCTCTTGTCATTATATACTGCCCCTCTTTGTTTCTCACTGTCTTTTCTATCTTTAAGGCTGCTTTGCCTGATCTCAGGCAACACCTTGGCTTTCTTTTGCTTGACATTTGCTTGGAGTATTGTCTTCATCCCTTCACTCTGAGCTGACATTTGTCTTTAGAGCTGAAATGTGTTCCCTGGAGCCAGGGTATTGTGGTTCTTGTTTTTTAATCCATTGAGTCACTCTGTGTCTTTTGATTGGAGAATTCACTCATTAACAATTAGAGTGATTTTTGATACATGAGGGCTTACTACTGTAATTTTATCTTGTTTTCCAGGCATTCTATATTTCTAATGTTTATTTTCTCTTGTATTTCTGATTGCCATTTCAGTTTGGTGAGTTTCTGTAATGGTTTTCTCAGTTTTCTTGATACTTATGATTTGTGGGTCTGCTCTGATTTTACGTTTAGTGGTTACCATGAGGTTTGTATAAGATCTCATAAATGAGATAGTCCATTTTCTGACAGCATCTTAGCTCCATTAGCCTAAGCAGGTTCAATCCCTTTCCTTTTCTCCTTCTGAGTTATTATTGTCACAAATTGTTCTTTTTTGTGTTGTTGGTGACTAAATTAAAGTGTTTATAATTACTTTTCATGCTTTCCTTATGTTTATCTTTTATGTTAAAGTTAAGCATTTGCTAACCTGTTCTGATAGAGAGCTTCAATTTTCTGATTTTGTCTATTTATCTCCTGACTCAAAGCTTTGTAAACCTTTGCCTTTTTGCTACAGGTTAGAGGGCTTCCTTTATCATTTCTTGTAAGGGAGGCCTATTGGCAATGAACTCCTTCAGCTTTTGTTTATCTGGGAAAGCTTTTATTTCTCCATTGTATCTGAAGGAAAGTTTCACTGGATAGAGTATGTCTGGCTGAAAGATTTGTCTTTCAATATTTTGAATATATCATTCCATTCTCTCCTAGCTTGTAAGGTTTCTGCTGAGAAATATGCTGAAAGCCTGATAGAGGTTCCTTTGTAGGTTATTTTCTTCTGCCTTGCTGCCCTTAATATTTTTTCTTTGTCACTGAGTTTTGCCAGTTTTAATATATGCCTTGGAGAAGGTCTTTTTGCATTGATGTAATTAGGAGTTCTATTGTCTTTATGTATTTCTAAGTCCAGTTCCTTTTCAAGGTTTGAGAAGTTCTCAGCTGTTTGTTTGAAGAAGCTCTCTGCTCCTTTCTCCCTCTGGAATACCTATAATCCTTATATTGCTTTTCCTAATTGAGTCAGATATTTCTCAAAGAATTTCTTCATTTTTTTTCAATCTTACTTCCCTTCCCCCCCCACCTGAAGCATTTATATATTTCTGTCCTCTAATTCACTAATTCTGTCCTCTGTAACATCAGTTCTATTTTTTTCATGGTTTCTAGATCATTTTTTATCTCACTAATTGTGTTCTTCACATCCAGAATCTGTTTGGTTTTTTTTTAGAGTTTCAATCTCTTTGGCTAAGTATTCCTTGCTCATTAATTTTATTCCTGACCTCATGGAACTGTCTTTTTGGGTTGTCTTGTAAATCGCTGAATTTCTTTATGACAACTATTTTGAATTCTCTGTCATGTAGACTGTAAATTTCTGTGAGTTCAGGATTGGTTTCTGGAGACTTGTCATTTTCCTTCTGCTCTGAAGTGTTACTGTAGTTCTTCACAGTGTTTGATGAACTGATCCTTTGCTAGCACATTTGTGGTAGTATCAGGTCACAGATTCCACTTGCCCCTGATGGGAGGTAGCAGGAACAGTGTTTTCTGATCCCACCCTATCTGCTGGAGGTTGTGTGGGCAGGGCTGATCTGTGTTCATGAGGGCTGGCCCCAGCCAATCTGCAGGTTGGACTCACAAGGGCTGAGCCTCTGCACTGAGCAGGCAGGTCACTCTTGTATGGGTGGGGCTGCTGTGCTTGGCAGGGGACCACTGAGCTGCTATGCTAGGTGGGAGAGGTGCCTACACAATGGCTGCTGTGTTCTGAGGGTGAGGCATCTTCTGACTGGTTGGGTACCTTCTTGCTTGTGCTGAGTGTGGCAGGCAGGCACCTTCATGGGGGCTGAGCTGCCACCACTCAGTGTAGAGCATTCCCACTGGTGGGCCTGCCATGGCATAGCGGGTCCTCTTGTAGGCTGGGCTAAAACTCTGAAAGTGTTTGCATGGGCCAGGCTGCCTTTGCCTGCTCTTACAGTTGCCCCGGCCACTGTGTGAGGATCTGCAACCTGGCTTGCTGCCACTGGGGAGAGGAAGGGGTGTGCTCACCTAGTTCCACTGCCTCTCAGGGATTCAGTCCCCTCACCTTCAGATGCACAGCTGTGTGGATCTTTCAGACATCCTGTTGTGCTGTGCAGGGAATGCTCTGCTGGTTAATGAACGTCCATTTAGTTGTAACTTAGAGGGAAGAGACAAAGGGAACAACTCACTCTGCCATGATCCTGACATCACCTCCAAAAAAGTCATATTAATTTGAAAAAGATCTGGCACACTATAACGTGTATATATGATTTCTTAAATAGTTTGCCTTTAATATTCTGTATTAAATGCCCAGCTTTTCTGAAGTTGTTGTAAACACAAATATCGTTCTGACTGTATAGTCATTAATGACCTTCTTTTTTAACAAAATAAAGATGAAACTCATACAGAACTGCTCTTATTACTACTTTAAATTTGGCTTCATTACCAGAAACAGGGTGTTTTCAAGAACTGGATCTTTCTAAGTCCATTTTTATATTTTAAAACAGCTTTATTTTTATTTGATTATATTCATTGTAGAAAAATGTGAAGAGACAGAAAAATAGCAAGAAAACTAAAATTTTCCAATATCCATGCCTCAAATACAGTAAAAAAAAAAAATATATATATATATATCTCTTCCTAGACTTTTTGTACAGTTAATTTTAAAATAAAATCAATACTGTAAAATGCTTACATATGCGTTTTTCATTTCATATTACAAAGTCACCATTTCTTTAGGACATTAACCATTATGTGAAAACACGATCTTCACTTGGCAGCTTCACAATCTAATTATAGCTAAATTATAATTTACCTCCAATTTTTGGATATTCAGATTCGTTTGAATATTTGCTATTACAACTAACACTCTATTGGACATCTTTCTTCATACCTAATTCTTTGTACGTATCTCCAATAATTTTTTAAAGATAAATTCCTAGGAGTAACGAGCACAAAGGGTGTATTTTGTAAGCGTTTTGATACATTTTACCAAACTGCCCTCCAAAAAGATTGTATCAATTTACAGTCACACCAATAAATGGCCTAAGAGTCCCATTTCTTCTTCTTATTCCTTGGCAACACAGGAAATTGGATGTCACCTCCCACTCTTTACTGTTACAAATTTAATGGGGGAGGGTAAATGATGTCTTCCTGTCTTTTTTGCTAAAGTGTAAGACTTTTCCAGACACTTGCTGGTCATTTGCTTTCCTTCTGTTTTGTGAAGCAGTCCACGTCTGACACAAGGCATCTCTGACTCGTGCAATGTCTTGTCATACATGTTCCTCCTTAGCGGGCAAGGGCATGAAAGCTGCATGTCTTTTCCATGTTTTTCAAAGTTAGGCAGCAATTTCCCAAATGTGTAGAATTAGAAAATCTTCTCTTCTGGCCCGCCATGCTATTTTAATGTTTTGGTAATAAAACAGAAAACCGGGCCATATCCTGAAAGGAAGAAAGCAGGCACAGATTACAATCAGCCAAGCACTTACCACAGGCAGTGGGTTTACAGATGTGTGAGCATGATAATCACCTGGAGTGCTTGTTAAAAATCAGATTTTTATTTTATGGAGTGAGGTTTCAGGGGACATACACTTTTAACACACTCTCCAGAATATTCTCATATTCACCAAAGTTTGAAAATCACTAACCAGATGTGGGACTTCCAGCATCGCTCTGAACTCTTGGTCCCTCACTCTCCTTTCCTGTAAAGTGACGTCCATCACACTTATCTAGAGGACTGTTCTGATTCTCACTTATCTCCGTCCCCTTTCACATCCACCAGGACACATTTTATACGCCAACCCTCGGCCTGGATTATCGTTTATGGAACCCCCATCTTTCACCTTATCCTGCTGGAAAAAAGTCCACTGAAATTTTAATATGTAGTATGTCCAAAGAGAATAGGGTCTTCTTCATCACTGCAAGTCTCATATATCTTTGCAAACCACAGCTGGACTTACAGGGGGTGCTCACTGAGTGTTTCTGGAATGAATTCGTGAGTGAATGAATGATATACATTTCAGTGTTGGAAGGACTAGAAACACTACCCCAGAATAAGGGATTAGGTGTTCCTTCATGCTAGAGAATGGAGGCCACAATTCTCAACTGTGTCTAGAGCAGCAATTCTTCATTTTCTCTTTTTAGGTCATACATCCCACTTGGAGAATCTGAGGAAAGCTACACATACTAACACTTTCTAAAAATGCAGACATCCAAAACCACACAATTTTACACACACTTTCAGAAGCTTCCTAGAAGGAAAAGACAACACTGATTTCTACCTTCTGAGCATTTTTACTTAAAAATGAAGCTGAAGTATAAATTTATTGCTTGAGAAATTATCTTCAAGCTCAAGAGACTATGGTCAAAATGGGGTCAATGAGGAAACTTAAAAAGAAAGAAAAAAACCGACCACACCTTGCAGGTAACATTAGCCTCAGCAGCACAAAGTATCTGTCACATTTCCCACCAATCGATGGCATGCTTATTTAGACAAACTAAAGCGAGGCTTGTCTATTGCATTATATGCATCTGAATGTAACTGTTTCTAGTTTAAACTGACATTCTCCAATTCTTAGAATTTATATTCTGTTTTCTTTTTGTTCACAATTCTAAGGGCTTCCTGTACTTCAGTTATGATGGCACACTTCATGGGAGAAACGGGCTGTCATTTATTCATTAATGAACATTTATCTCCTAGGTATACAGGTTGCAACCAGCATACGTGTTTCCTGTCCCTTAGGGACTTGAAGTCTACTAGGGAAGACAGATTACAAATTCCAGTGTCCCTGACTCTGCAGTCCTAAACGCTGAGAGGCATCCTAGTTACACCGGTGTGCGGCAGCCGGCTTGTACCAGCTTGCAAGAACAATGTGTATCACTTCCCAGCTTATGAGGGGCTTCATGTTGGTAGCTTGAAATCAGCTGTGCTGGAGAATTTACACCACGTAAATCAGCAAACACTAGGAATCATGGCTCCTCCACGCCCATCAGCTGTCAATCATTTACTATCATATCACGTCATCACACTAAAACTGTCACTCTCAGTGCAGGGCTCCTGAGTGGTAATTCAGCAGTGTAGGAAGAGCTTACATCAACCTTTCACATTCTCTCTCAACTACTGCCATGAGACCCAAAAGCAGAGGCGTGTTCTAGGAGACCTCAGGATATGCTGGCTACCCTCTCTGGATACCAGGTCAATGTGATATCTGACCAATTTGAGGCAACTCCTTATGCAATGTGGTTGATCAAGAGAGTTATAAAATGTCCAAATAAAAATCATGCATCTCTGAGCTTGGCAGTTGATTTAAATTATATTCCAGGAATCAATACAGTCATGCTTCACATAACAAGGGGGATATGTTCTAAGAAATGCGTGGTTAGGTGATTTCGTTGTTGTGCGAACACCACGGAGGGTACCTCCACAAACCTAGATAGTATAGCCTACCACACACCCAGGCTATATGGTACTAATCTTATGGGATCACGGTCATATATGCAGTCCACTGTTGATCAAAATGTCATTATGCAGCACACGACTACACTGGAGCTGAAAAGCTACCAATATGCAGCCCATCTGACGTTCATCATGAATTACTGTCTTCATGTGATGCAACATTAACCGTAAGCAGACAGTCCCCAGCACCATTTTGGTATTGCTATGTCAGTGTCTCAGCTTTAAAGGCTGCCGAAACTTGGTGTGGATCTGCCAAAGAGAAAGCAGCCTTGTGAATAATGTAAGCCACATGCAGAGCAGGCACTATCAAATCTTTTGGAAGACGTAGAGACACACTGTAGAGCAGGTCAGCATCAATAACCTGGCAAACTAGCTAAGAAAACTCTCCCCACATCAACTTCCAATGGTCTTGCATTACTAGCCAGAATATATGACTACTCAGTTTCACAAACAGTTAGTATGGTAGTAAATGGCATGAAAATTTGTAGAAAACCTCTAGGCTAGTATAAAATACATGAGTAGAGGGACCAAGCTTGAAGTGCAAATAAGAGGAAAAGGCAGCTGAGGGCCTATGGAAGCGTCTGCTTGCAGATGGCTGAGGATACTCACCTTCAGAGTACGAAGAGTCTCTGACCATTCCATGGACCCTATCTGGGGTATGGTACTGAGGAGTAAACTTGTGGCTTTATTGGCATTTTCTTTCAGGGTCTTTAAAATCCGGTCCACTGAAACCTAGAGAAACAACGGCACAGGATGTTGCCAGAAATTAAAAATTCCACTGCTGTTCATGGAATGTTTTCCTGAGCTCCTACCTGACCTGCGTGGTCAGTTTACCCCAGTTTCAATCTGGAGCCCTGCAAGCTGGGCATTTATCAAGATGGTCTTTGGTCCCAGTAGGGAGGTCTTGGAGTAACTCAATGATATTTCTGAAAAGCACCGCTGGCTTTCAATATGGTGTCTGAGGATCTTCCTCAGATGTATAATGTGCGAGCATGCTCTGGAAAGCTGTGTCTATTCTCCCCATGTCCAGAGAATGAATTCTAGTCTTAAGACTGTTGCCAAACTAGATAACCAGTCAGAAGATCAGCACATTTCCCTTTAGAGAAGTCTTCCAATAACGAAGAATGATGGAATCAATGGATCATCATTTTTCATGTTACAGCTCCCAATGAATTAATGAATGGATGGCTAAGATCACAAAACAAAAATACCTAAAACCAAATGAACAACTCATTTTAATGTGCTTCCTGATGGAAAAACAAATCACTACATATGACACCTGAATCTGATCAAACCTGTAGATCCAGCTGCCAATTTACAGAAAACAACAGAGGACAGAGCAACCTGCTAACCTACCCTAAGGAGACGATTTCAGCAATTTAGACCGTGGGAAACTCTAAACGACAAATAACCTGATTTCTTTTTAGAAAACCAGGAAGAAAAAAATCATTTATGATACTTCAGATAACTAGAAACTTAAACTTTGCTTGGTTATATTAAGGAATTATTGGGGGAATGTGCTAATGATAATGAAGTTACGTTAAATATCTCCTGACATGTTTATGGATAATATTATGAATGAGAGTGTAAATGAAATGTAATTCACTGTAAGCTGATATGATAATGGTTGAAGCTGGATTCGGGAGTCATGGAAGCTCATGCTATTGCCTACTGTGTACATGACTAAAATTGCCTCACAAGGAAAAGCTGGAAGAAGTTGTGATTATAAAATGGACAATGAGAGGTAGAGAACTTGTCGCACTTCACTACGCTTAGAAGAAATCTGAGATTCAGGGGCACCATGAATGTACTTTTCTTTCTGTTTCCTGGAGTATAAAGTCCAGACTCCTTCCACAAACAACAAAATGTGTTTAGAAAAAAATGACGAGCACCGTAGCAGAGGGAAGGGCCCACTACTGTGGGAACACAAAGCAGTGACAACTTGGGTGCCTGCCAGCTACAAGTACATGCATGTCTTAAGTGGAGTCTGAATGCAGTCATAAAGCATCCAAGACATCTACCCTACATTTACTCTTCTCCTGTGACTGATATTTCATAAAGAATCGGTCCTCTCTTTCCTCTTCTTTGTTCCTGCTCTTGGGCTCCACCCAAAATGCCCTTTCTACTAACCTCCTCACATTCAAATCCAATCCTCTGTTCAGGGTCCAGCTCAGATCTCAAAAGTTTCCTTCTTCACAAACTTGTTTTTGGTCTCCCCACCCCCAACTCCATCCTAGCTCCCATATGAGGACCACTCTCCTAGGAACCAGCACTATTCCAGTTGCTCAGCATATATCATTTGGTTTAACTCTCCTAGTTACCCTGCAAGGTCAGAATTGCAACTGAACAACTCACACCCGTCACCCCCAAGCCCCGGCTCCATCCTAGAGAAGAGTAATGGGATAAATAATGGGCCCAGTGTCTCAAGTAAACAGAGCAACAGGAATGTGAAGATGAGTTTAGGCAACCGGAAAACCTTCTCCCCATGCCAGGCTGCACATCTGGTTTGAAGCACAGTGACACACATGGCTGGCTGAGATGATGCCATCTTGGACTCTGCCTTCCTTGTAACATTTAACAGTATTTGCTTTCATGCCTTACCACTTACACAGGGTTCAGCTTCTCTGCTTTTAACTCAAGTGGCTCCAACTGTCTGCTTCCCAGCCCTCCTGTGGCCAATTAAAGGGAAGCAGCGTTAGCTCTGCAGAGGAGGAGACAAACGTCACCAGGCTGAGCAGAAAGCCAAGGCAGGAAGCAATCTGCTTTCGGGACGTGACAGGGGCTGGACCCTCCTATTCGTTGGAAGCGGCTTCTCAACACCATGAGGCTGAGCTGCCCCTTAGGTGACCAAAGCTGCCCAGTGAGAGATTAGGTTGTGCCAGGATTTGCAAATTTCTTACATAAAAGCATCCTAGAAGTTAGCAAGAGTGTATTACACTGAGGAGTGAGGATAAGGTGTTCATGCCAAACAAAGAACCCGGGCTCCTCTACGACCCAAACTCCCTGTACCTGGACGGACAGACAGCAAGTCTCTGAACCTGCGTCACATGGAATTGGATGGTGAAACCAGCAGCTCTGAGACAGTGATTCAGAAAACCCCCTGGGTAAGATGCCACCTCTCCTAAATGTGCTCACAACAGCCAGCCCGCACCCCTCCCTAACGTCAACACTCCTGGAGTGTGCTTCTGTCCCTTTCTCTACCTTAAAGTAAGACAAATGATAAGACAAACGATCAGGTTTCTTCAAGTAAAATGCATAGAATGAAAACAGAGGGAGGGGAACATGAGAGTAAAAGAGACTTAAGGGCCAGCCCCAATGGCCTAGTGGTCAAAGTTCAGTGCACTCCACGTCGGCAGCCTTGTCTCAGTTCCCGGGTGTGGAACCATACCACTCATCTGTCAGTGGCCATGCTATGGCTGCAGCTGACATTAAAAAAAAAAAAGAGGAAGACTGGCAACAGATGTTGGCTTAGGGTGAATCTTTCTCAACAACAACAACAAAAAAAGAAAGAGAGAGAGAGTGACTTAGAGATGTTATTCAAACATAATGTATAGATTATAAGGGACCCTGAATTGAATGGTGAAAAACTGAGATGAGGGAAAATGTGAACATTCTGTATATTTGATTATATTAAAGAATTAATATCAATATTTTTTGGTCAATAATGGTGTTGTGCTTATTTTTATTACTTTATTTTTAAAAAGAGGCCTTTTAGAAAAATATTTCCTTCAAAAATACTAGGGCAGGGGGAGAGAGAAGTGGGTAGGGACTCATACGTGACACAGGGATGGGCCATGGGTGATAACGGTGGAAAGCTGAGTGATGGGTAACTCAGTGTTCATTAAACTAGACTCTCTACTTTTGTGGAGGTTTGAAGTTTTCCACAACGAAAGTACTTGTTCTGGAAGCCTGACCTCAGTGGTCCAGTGTCCTCAAACACTAGCTGGACCCTGACATCTTTCCTGCCTAAACCCCTCACTGCCCTCCCATCCAAAATCCTTCTATGGTCTATGTGGCCCCGCCCCCCTCTTGCTCCCTCCGCCCTCTCCACTCAAGCATGCCCATCTTTCCTACCACACTTCAACAAGGACAGCTTCCCAGACTCCAAATATCTGCTGGGTCAATTGGATACATACTCCTGTATCTCATCAAACTATTTCTTTATAACTCTGAGCTTTCTCACACTGGTTTGCATAACCTTTACCCCCCGCCCCTCCCCAAAATCAAAGCATTAGCCCCTTAGGGACTTGTCTGTTTGCTGTTGTATTCCTACACCAAGGATGGTATCCAGTCAGGGTAAGTTAAACAGACAGGTATGAATACAGAGTCCTCTTACCAGGAAGACGTAATAGGTTTCTCCCTTTGAAAACAAACATAATAAACAGCAGCACAGCATAAGGAAATTATCACCAAAAGACCCTTTATCCTTAAAATAAGGCCCAAGTCTCAGTATGATCCCCAACATGCCTACAATGTACTGTTCACTGCTGACCCTTGGATAACAGTGTCTTTTTCTTCCCTATGAAGATCTTTGTTCTTAACTTCCAGTGGGAACTACAGAAAGTATGTGGCAACGTATGAAAAACTGACTTTACAACCTGGTAGAAGGACACTTTCTGGAACTAGTGCGAGAGAGACAAATAGTTAAGACACTCTCTTAATGGCTCTCATGGCACCTGGAAACCCAGGCCATACTCGTCCAGAAGAGAATTCCACCTACCTCTTCCTCATTCTCCTTCCAGCAATCATAATCTGTTGCCAAGGCGATGCTGGCATAGCAAATTCCAGCCTCCTTAGCAAGGACCGCCTCTGGAACTGTGGTCATGTTGATAACATCCGCCCCCCAGGCGCGGAACACGAAGCTTTCTGCCCGGGAGCTAAAACGAGGTCCCTCGATTGTGACCATTGTCCCTTTTGAGTGGCACCGGAGTCCTAGCTTCTTAGCATTCTCTAAGAGGACCTAGAAAAGAAACAACCACAAACTCAAAATTTTATTTTTTCCCTGAGGTTTAATAATTCCTTAGTTAATGTCTTTTACAGTGAGTGCCTAGTACCCGCAGGTCCTCAGAGAGAACCTGGGAAATCACAGAAGGGTGCTTCCTAGACGCTCAGCCACTTACCTAACCCTGTTCCCGAGCCCCTGCAGACAGCTCACGGCTACAAGAGCAAACAGCGAGCTTTTTCTATCCACCAGGCATTTGTAGACATACTGGAATCTCAGTGACTTCTTAACAGCTTGAAGAGACTCAGCTGGGCTGTGAACGTGAACTTGGATCTGAGCTCTTCACCTCCAAGGCTGAGCTCAGGGGCCGCTGCTCACCCACATCTCAGAGAGACGCGCTGAGAACTGCTTGCCAGCACCTGAGAAATTACACTCATTGCCCTTTTACACAAAATCTGAAGACTTTTGTCAAAGCTTTTTTGGTTAGAAACTGATTTCCTCATAATCTCCTTTGTCTGCTGCCTCTCCAGGGATGTATGGTCAAAACAGAATGAGGCCGCGCTGATTTTTTTCTTTCCAGGATAAACTTATCTTGGCATTCCTTTAGTGGCAAGGCCATGCAGGGGTTTTAGAAAAATTATTTAAAAGTTTGATCACTTTTTCCAGTGTCTAATTAATAATGCATTTCTAATATTCAAGTTATTAGTTAATTTCACTTTTTTCTTTGCGTGTTCTTCAACACTGTTTTTCAATTAAAAAAAAACCTAGTCTTTTAAACTTAACTGTTAACCTACTTAAATACTGCTGAAAACTCACTTAACCTTTATATGACTTAGTTTTCTCATCTGTAAAATGGGACTAATATTGTAAAACTCAGAGATATTGTGAAAATTAAATAAGCTAAGGAATATACAGTAGAGAATCATGTCGGGCACAGCGTCAACACTATATAAATGCTAAACTGGTCTCCTAACGATTACTAACACCGGCAGCTTCTAAAATGTTTACCTAATAATTGGCAAAGGTTCCTGGGATACTACATATATAAAAAGGAGTGACTCAAAGTCAACAGAAGGCTGCAATCTAGGCCAAAGTCTCGCCTGCACATGTCTGAACCACATAAGCGAATTAACCTAGGTCCTTAAAAATAACTCGTTCTGTGCTATGGCGTTGGGAGAAAGAATTTTAACAAGCGCCTTGGCAACTCCAAATTTAGAACCATGACAAGTCACAGACAATGAACAGCTGATGCTACATCAGGCTGATTTATCCTATAGACACTCAAGATAAGATTTTGCTTAGTCACAACTTTTCCCCAAAGAACACAGGTTACACATGCAAGGACCTAAACCACTCCTTCCTCCCCTGAACCCCGCCTTTCTTTCTTCAATATTAAGATATAACCAGCTCAGTCCTGTCTTCATTAAATGTCTTTAAAAATCCCGAATAACCAAGCTGCATGTCTCGGCCACACTTCTGAGTGCTTCCAGAGATGTGTGAGGGAAGATCCCAACTACCGCGTGCCACTGGCCTGCGGCACCTAAGTCCACCCATCACCCTGGGAGGTGGGTACCATGATGGGGAGGAGGAGCAGGTGGAGGCTGTGGATGTGGACCAGCCACAGACAGACCCTGGGGCGGTGCCACCTGAACCAGTACCTTGCACCCCCATGAGAACCGCTAATGCCATCCCAAGGAACCAGAAATACAAACCACAGGCTGAGACATCTCTGGGTCTGAGGCTAAGATGCTTTCACTTCCATGTCTTGAGTAATCATAATGGAATTTCTGAATCTATTACCATTGTCACAAATGCGCTATTGGCAATATTATATCACCAGGCTAAACATATTTAATGTGTCAGAATTTCCAGAGTTTGTTTCAGATGCCCTCCTAAAGTGACTAGAAGTGACACTATTCTGGGAATAGGTAACACTTGCACAGTGCCCAAAACATAAACAGTACAAAAGGATATTATTCTGTGACAAGTAACCCAGTTCATCTCCCCAAGGGAAACCAGTTACCAGTGTTTTGGTCAACTTCCCAGAAAGACTTTATTTACATGCAAATATGTTCATATTAATCTCTTTATATATACACATATTTAACACAAATAGTAGGTATGGGCCAACCGCTGTGCATCTTGCTTGCCACCTGACGACTGAACTGACAGTCCTTCCTCATGAGTACACGAAGGATCAAGTGAATGGTGACAGTGAAAGTGATAATTACCAAGGGCTGCATCATCTACTCTTCACATTTTGGACTCTAAATATCTCTTTTAGAGTACATAAGAATAAAGGAATATTCTGGAGGCTTATTTTTACCACTTTCTTAAATTGCCTTCCACAGTACTCTAGTTTTTACGTGGGGGTCCTTGGCTTGGCTAGACAACTAATGGCTGAATTAATTCGGTCTCAAGGGAGGCCAACTGTATTACTGGAAATAGTCACCAGCCACCACATTTACATAGGCTCAGCATACAGCATGAGCACTCCCTCCGCCACCTCTACTCCTGGTGACATAGATCACCGTTTTCTGCCTGGGAGAAGATCTCAGATCTCACACTAACATGGATTTTCTCTCCCTAGCCCATTCGTTACCAAGCTGCCCCCATTTTGAAATGGACGAGAATTTTATACACATCTAATTTCCCCCAGAGAGCAGATTTATTACCTGGACAGATCAGGGTTTCAGGGGGAAGGCCAGCAGCACATCCTGATACGTTCTGCTGATAACCACCCAGAAATACATACACCTAAATACACAGATTCACACAGACTGAACCTGCCATTATTTTAAACAAGTAAAAAAAGGACTTCACAGAAGTCAGAGAATCAACATGCAGTGCTCTATATGAAACGGCCCCCCAACTCCTGGCTTTGGATTCCAGATTTTCGTTGGAGACCAGAGTGAGGTGCCCTGCTGTGAACTAGAAGGAAACCAGTGGCACAGGATTACGCAGGCTAAACAGAAAAGCTAAACTAAACCTTCTACTTTCCATAGGCAGGTGATAAGATTATGTGAATGATGAACATGTTTAGGTATTTATATTCTCTAAGCTAATTTATAAAGCAGATTAGACCAGGCAGTTTTCCTCTGACAATACTTCTGATCTGTTGGGTCCCACCTGACTGATAATCTGGGATTATCAGACAAGCACCATTGTGGACCGAGTGACAGACGCTGAGTCGTGGTACCATTTTCATCCTCTGAGAGCTGAGGCTGCGCTTCCGCCCCTTCCACCACCACTGGCCTTTGTAGGGCCGCCCCTCTGTCTGAGCTTTTACTATAATCCTGGAGGGGAGGCTGGACAGTAATGGCCGAACTCAGCTCAAGGCAAATGATGCCAATCTGACAATTTACAGATTATCAATAATAATCTAATTCATAAAAGAAGTAACCAGTCATTGGCTATCTCACAACTGACAGAATCTGTTCCAAGTATTTTGTAAGTATTAACTCTTTTCTCTGTCACACAGTCCTAGAGGTACATGTTATCATCACCTTGATTTTACAAATGAGGAAACGTAAGCCCAGAGGTGTTAAGTAACTCGTCCAATGATCACAGGTATTAAGCTGAAGAGCAGAGACTTGATCCCAAGTAATCTGGTTCCAGATACCATTCTCTTGACTAATATACTATCTTATACTAGATTATTTAGAAGGTATCCTGACAACAACATCTAAATTTATTAAAAGAGTAGGTTACAACTTTGAGAGTCAGCTTACAAATGATTGAGAGTAGCAGAGGCATTATTAGCAAAGGGAAACAGCTCTTCGTTAAACCTTGCATGAGAAACAAACTAGAGAGGGAAGAAGGACCACGTGCTTAGCCAATTCATCTAACTCTAGATGCCACCCCAAGCCCTTATGATTTATTGTGGTGCACCTTCCAGAAGTCTATGCGCCTGTCTCGTTATGGGGCAGAACGGGTCAGCCGCTGGAATGGCACACTCCTCTGGCACAGGAGGAACTTTTGACATAGAAGGTCTGAGGTCTCTTGGTGGTCCTACAAAGCAAAGTGAAAGGTTTCTGGTTTTTTTTAAGCCATCTCTCCATCCTCTGTGCGCTGGTGAATCAACTGCATCCAGGCCAAGCTGTCGGTCCTCACTCCAGAATCAACAGCTCTGAACAAGTTGAAGACAACAGTAAGAAAAGCAGCTCCGAGATGGTATTCAGCTTGTCTGGCTCTGGGTCGATGGCTACATGCTTTCCAATGGGAATTAAAATGTCTGTGGTCTGGCGGCTGTGACGCGATAACCACACTGGACTGTAGGGACAAATCATCTGCGGGCTCAGGAGGGCAGGTGACGCACTTCAGAAGTCAATAGGAAACTTTCAGTCATCGCAGATGTAGAGGCTTGTACAGTGAACGCCATATACACCCATCACCTAGACTCAACCATTTCCAAAACTTTGTCAAATGTGCTTATCTGTTAGAATTTCCAGGGTTGCAAAAGCAGCCATCCTCATTTTATCCCTACCTTGGATGGACCAAAATATGTGGATTATTTCCCACTGCAATGTCATTATCACATCTGATAGAAATAACATCAATTCCTCAGCATCACCCAATACAAAGGCCATATGCAAATTTCCCTGCTGGCCTCAAAAATGTCTTCTTTTTTTTTTTAAAACAGTTGCTTTGATAGTGTCAGGTCCAAACAAGGTCCTTACCTTGTATTTGATTGTCATGTCTCTAAATTGAGAGTAATTCCTGCCCTCTGCCCCAATCTTATTTTTTCATGCCTTTGACCCATTGAAGAAAGCAGCTGTTTGTCCTGCTCCACATTTGGGAATCTGTCTCTTGCTGCCCTGTTTAGCTTGTCCCTTTACCTGCCATAATTCATTCTAAAGTCTCTTTGGTCAATTTTTTTAATAAAATATTTTTGAACCCACAATAGAGGGGCTACAATTAACCCAGTGCCCAGTCACCCAGCAATTTCTCAGCAGAAGTTTTCAGAATAAACCACTTTTCACGTCCATCACATTGTTCTAAACGTAAACTCGTGAGTAACACAGGAAAGAGAGTCCTCTTCTGTCCTACAGAGGGGACAGCAGCGGAGGGCCAGGGCGCGAGAAAACAGGGGCAGGCAGATCATGTAACGTCTACTCCCAGGGTGGGAGGGTGGGGAAGAGCGTGGAGAAATGTGCTGCTTCAGGTCCCACAGCTGGCACGTCCACCCACCAAAATTAACCTGTGACCTCCACCCCGTCACATACAAACAGTGACACGAGCTGGCACCAACGCCAACTCACTCAGAGATGAGGCCTCTGTGCTCTGCAGGAATGAAAACCCAGTCCGTGCCTCCCAAGCCTCTGTCACATGTGTCTTAAGGGAAATGCTAAGTTAACCTCAAAGCAGTTGCAAATGGGGTTAAGAACGGGTCAAATGACTGTTCCAGCCTGGATAAACAGGCTTTTCTCTCTTTGTAAAACTGACCAACCAAGTGGTGCCACGTACTCCAGGCTCTGGCTCGCTTTCGGCCTTCAATGAGTCACGTATTAGCAACATCCCCATTTACAGCTGTGATTAAATATGAAAACAGGGCCACAGAAACATTCAGCGGCTGTCCCCCAACAGACGGCCAGGCAAGAGCATCCCCATCTCAGCGATCTCCGTCCCTCTCTCTTCTCTCTCCATCCTTCTCTGCCTCATCACTCCTCTCTTTGTCTGAACTTTTACCTTACATCATAACATGTCTTAGTTAGGCTTTAAGTTATGCTATGCACATGTGACACTTATTGACAGCAGTTTTAATTCCCTCTCAAGTGGAACACGTTACGTTTTTCTCTTTAAACAAAGCTCCCTAACTACTGGCCGTATGGCTCACAGCAAATTGCTGTATCTTTTTGATTTTCCATTTCCCCAGGATAAAACGTAGTGTTCACCCAGCCATTTATAAAGGCATTACGAGGAGTAAGTCCACCAGGAGGCACAGACATCTCAGAGCAGCTCAGAGTGCGATCTGGCTGGGGACAGAACTGGGAGTCAGCACAAGGAGAGGCTGTGGCTGAGGACAGGGTCTCAGAACACTCCACCTCGTGAGGGGTGAGCGAAGTGGGGAGCCCCAGGGAAGAAATGAGGACTGTAAACCCACTGTTTCTAATGGTTTCAGGGCTCCACTGTGGAGATCCTGGAAAGGACGGTGCAGATGGAAACAGCCCCTCACACAGCCTGCCCACCGACGTGTGGCGTTCCGCATAACTAAGCGCCGGTGCAGTCAATGAAGCGTTGAGTGATGTAGACTGACGTCACTACAAACAGCAATACTTCTGTAGAGCATAAAATGATGAGCACGATTAATGCTGAATGGAATCCAGACCAAGAGCAGTGGGGTTTACAATCCCAGGTGAGGCGGGTGGGGGACATGACCCAAGGGAAATTCTAGAATGACAATATGTGTAGTTTAAGAGCTCCTCTCCTCCCTCTGCGGGTGTTTATCAGAGAAGTGAGCTCTGACAGCTCAGAAGGAAGCCAGGGTGAACCTGCCGGTACAGCGGGGACTGTTCCCCCACTGAGCCTGTATCACGGGGCCTGCCCGTCACCTCCAATTCCCACCACAACAGCTCTTCTCCAGACAGAGTAGGAGTTCGCCCTCAGACTGACATGGGGAAAAGACAGGAAACGTACTTGTGCGCCTGGATTCGAATCTTATTACTAGAATTTGTGTGTGGTTGTGAGCAAATGACCTAACCTCCCTGAGCTCTTTCTTCATCAGGCGAGTGTGAGCAACATGCGCACTCATACCCTTGCTTAAATACGAAAACAGGGCTGCGGAAACCACCAGCGGCTACATCCCAGTAGACTTTCAGGCAATAACATCCTCATTTTATATGTCAAATGTGTGAGTTTCGGGATGAATAACAGTTGATGCAAAGTGCTACTACTACTATTGCCTTGAGGATTGACAAGGTAACAGACCCAGCAGCTGGCACACAGCAGTCACTCAGATCACCTTGTAGACAGATGCAGCTGCAGCAGAAGTGAGCAGATGGAGCAGGTTAATGGACGACACCTGCAGGTAGTTTCCTGCGGGGAGAAACTAGGTCTGCAACAGTACCCAGGTGAGCACCTTTCCTGATAAAGGGGTCCTTACTGGAATCTGTCCTCCCTTCCACCAAGAGATGGAAGTGAAATCTATTCCTGAGGCAGAGAATAAAATTAGTCTCAACGATGTCAAACTGGCTGGACCCGATGGGAATCGTGTTCCAGCTTGTGGCTGAGAAGAACGGGAAGGAACACACACCTCCCAGAAGCAACCTAGACCAAGGACAAGAGAGTTTAGGAATGGCAGCTCCGTCCTACTGAATTGTAGAAGTGGCACGTTGTGGCAGGCAGCATAATGCCCTGCCTCCCCACCCGCCCAGGATATCCACAGTCTAGTGCCCAGAGCCTGTGGAGATGTAACCTTGTATGGCAAAGGGAACTAAGGTTGCAGATAGAATTGCAGTTGCTAACCAGCTACCCTTAAAAAAGAAAGATTATCCTGGATTAACCAGGTGGGCCCAGTGTCATCCCAGGAGTCCTCAGTGTGGAAGAGGGAGGCAGAAGAGTCAGTGTCAAAGCGATGAAACGTGACAAGGACTCGGCCCGCCATTGCTGGTGTTGAAGCTGGAAGGGGGCCATGAGCCAAGGAATGCAGGCAGCAAAGAGCAAGGACAAGGATTCTCCCGAGCCTCCAGAAAAGAATGAAGGCCTGCTGACACCTTGATTTTAGCCCCGTGAGACCCACGTTCGTCTCCTAAGCAACAGAACTAGATAATTTGTGTTGTTCAAGCCACTAAGTTTGTGGTCATTTGTTACAGGAGCTATAGGAAACTAATACACGTGCTTACATGGTTTAAGCTACAGTTAACCCCATCATGCTTTCTGCAGTAATAAAGAACTGATGCCAAAGGTCTGCGCAACTCTTGCTTCAATCAGCAAACCCTCCCAGCTAGGCCAGGGGACTGCTAATATCATCTCCCCAATGGCCTGGGACACCCACTGGAAAACAGACTTCCTGGACTGACTCATCTGGCTGGTTCTATCACTCACTCTCTAGCTGTGTGCCTCTGGGAAAGTCACTGATCTCTCTACACCTCAGTTTATACCAGTTTTCTCCTATTGAAAATGAAGAATAATGCCACCTACCTTATATGGTCATGTGAAGACTGAATGAGAACACATGAAGCAAGTGCCCAGCACTAGGAACGACCGTTCATGGAAACCTGCTTCTGTGCCTCAGCTGCCAACCGTGGAGCAGGACCCGTGTACGGGCCTCAAGGGGACCCCAAAAACTGCGTGCGGTTGTCCAACAGGGATATGTGCTAAGAAAAGATAGTGTACAAATCAACAAAAAACTGCCAAGGAAGAGTGAAGGAGACAAAATCATGCTGTGAACTGTCAAGAGAAAGGAGGTCAAGACAGTCAAGGAGAGAACACTGGGCCTTTCAGACACAGACAGGAGGAAAGCCCAGAGAAAGAAAGGCTGGTGGGTTGTTTCTGGATCAAGATCCTTAAATCGGCTCAAAGACAGCCATTTGCTAATATTTTTCCTTTGAGGAAATGTTGAGTTGCAAAGAAATTGAGGGAAAACACCCGTCCCCCAGGAGAAGCTGGCCTCCGAGGAGCCCGGCGCAAGTCCACACCAGCCCCAGCGTGCAGGAACGTGAGTCAGTTCACTGGCAGGGCAGGGCCGACGGCTGCTCCTAAGGAGTGTGGTTTAGGGGAACTGATTCTGCTCGCACCACTTAAAAACTACCCAAACAGGAACGTGCATGGACAGGGACAATTTTGGGAAACCAAACTAAAAGGTTCTCCCACGCCACCTTTTCCTTAAAGCCTGAGCTCTGAGGGAAAGAGGAGGGGCCCTAAGGAGCAAGTCTGTCACAGCCACCTGGACACGTTAGTCCTACAGCTACAATTTACCCTCCAGGGATGTTCGTCCACACACAGATAACAGGGCCCCCAGATGTGACCGGAGTACGGTTCATACAAACCAGAAACTGAAAACAACCAAACTC